TGAATAGTGCTGCAGTGAACATCCCACAGCCAACCTTTCAAGAGTGACCCATGCGGCGTGCATCTAAATCACACTGGGAATTTAATCGGTTTTGGTTGGAGGGAGAGTTATAAGTGAAGGAGAATACCTCTACCTCTTAATTCTTTCTGATTTTCAGTTTAATGATCTTACAAGAAATGAGTCAGTTTCTCTACCATGTTATCTTAACATATTCGTCTTCCTTTATATCAAGCACTGTCTTTTTACTGGTTAGAGTAAGTTCAGAGCGTCTGCTCCTTTCATTGTTTACTCATTACCAGTTGAAATAATCAAGAATGTTGTTTAAGAATTTGTCAGACCCACTTTTTAGAGAATGAGATTTTTGGCAGGCATTAGCAGCATTGAAGTCTCCCCTCACTATTGTAATTTGCTTCTGGGCCAGTCCCACAGTCTGTACTAGGATAGTGTGTAACTTTTTAGGTTGTCAGCATCATGCAACCACAATAATGAAATTATTTATTTATTTATTTATTTTTGAGATGGAGTCTTGCTCTGTTGCCCAGGCTGGAATGCAGTGATGCAGTCTTGGCTCACTGCAACCTCTGCCTCTTGGGTTCAAGTGATTCTCCTGTCTCAGCCTCCTGAGTAGCTGGGATTACAGGTGCGTACCACACCACCTGGCTAATTTTTGTATTTTTAGTAGAGACAGGGTTTCACCATGTTGGCCAGGCCGGTCTCGAACTCCTTACCTCAAGTGATCTGTCTACCTCAGTCTCCCAAAGTGCTGGGACTACAGGCATGATGAAATTCTTTTTTTTTTTTTTTTGTCTCTTTATTCTCCATCATTTTTTCTCTGCCATGTCAGAGTCTTGTTTTGCCATTGTAGGTGCGCACCTTGACATTTAGTTTCTCTGCCTTACCTGTCATTGGAAAAAAAGGTGGTCTATAATAATAGTTCAGAATTAAGGCTGTGCAGTCAGCCTGGATTTGAATTACTGCTTCTCCACTCGACAGTTGAGTGGTCTCTCTCGTGAGTTAATTAACTTTATCTGCCTCAGATCTTTGTTGTTTTGTTTTCCTGGAAGTAAAACAAGGATAATAGTTCCTCCTTCATAGGCGTGCTGTGAAAAGCACAATAAGTAACACAGTGCATATAACCTATATAATACATAGTAACTGAAACAAGTGCTCAATACATGTTGGCTGTTATTATTATTCTAGTTTTTATTTTAAACAAGGTGTTTATTTATTTATTTATTTATTTATTGAGACGGAATCTCGCTCTGTCGCCAGGCTGGAGTGCAGCGGCGCCATCTCAGCTCACTGCAACCTCTGCCTCCCAGGTTCAAGTGATTCTCCTGCCTCAGCTTCCCGAGTAACTGGGACTACAGGTGTGCACCATCACGCCCAGTTAATTTTTGTATTTTTAGTAGAGATGGGGTTTCACGATGTTGGTCAGGATGGTCTCGATCTCTTGACCTTGTAATCCACCCACCTCAACCTCGCAAAGTGGTGGGATTACAGGTATGAGCCATTGCACCTGACCATATAATTATTTTAAGTCACTATGTCCATCTTGCCAAGTCTTATGTGATATTTACAAAGCATATTAACCTTGAAATCGTTTATTATACCTGACTTGTTTTGTTGTTAACTTTCATGAATTACTAAACAGCTTATTCCATGTTAGTGATTTGTTTTATGCTTTTAATCTTCCACAACTATTTGTAATCAATCTGTGTATCTTTTTAAATTCTGAAGTCAGTTGGGCATCTGCTATATGTCATGCACCCATATAGGACCTGAATGTAGGGATGAATATAACAGGATTCCTGCACTGAAGGAATTCACAATTAAGCTTATGGAGGGTTAGGGAGGATAAGCAGAAACCTTTGTAGCTAACTGTGATAGGGTATGAGGAGTAGCTTAGAAGAGAATAGATAGGTTAGCTTTCAGCAGAGGAAACAGCATGAGCAAAGATCCAGAAACAAAAGTTTACGAAACAAAGGTGAGATATGGAAAGTGGGTTGGGGCTAGATAGTAAAGGGCCTTGAAAGCTTTCAGAGAACTTTGGCAATGGGGAGCAATAGAAGGTTTGAAAACAACGACATCTTATCAGAATTGTGCTTTAGAAGGAGAACAACAAAGACAGAGTGAAGGGCTAAAAGGAGAAAGCCTAGAGCCAGTTAGGAAGCTCTGTACTAAGCCTAGAAAGGTTAGCAAGAGTGGGGATGAGAGGTGACTTGAGGGGCATTTGGGATTCAAATTGATTTGACAAATGCGAATTGTGTACCAATTTTGTGCCAGACCCTGTGCTAGGCTCTGTGTTAGAAATACTGCAGAGAATCACTTACAGCTTCTGCCCAAGATCTAGTGGTGACACAACCACTATCGCTAAGAGGAAATGCAATTCAGAGGTGGTTCTGAGGTTCCTACACGGAGACATGTGTGGATAGTAGCACTTCATTTCTGAGTTTATGGAACGTGGATGTGGGAGCAGAGTTGAGAGGGGGAAAGGGAATGAGCTTAGTTTTGAATATGGTTTATCCGTAGACTTTCTGACTGCTCCTTGGCGGGGCATTAATTATATTAGTCGAGCTCAGAGGAGAAGTTGAGACAGTAGTGATTATTCTTTTTCTTCTGCCAAACACATTATAAACTGGTTATTTTCTTTATTTTTAATTTTTAAATTTTATTTATTTATCCTTTATTTATAACATATGTACGTATGTTGGAGTCTTGCTCTGTCTCCCAGGCTGGAGTGCAGCGATGCGGTCATAGCTCACTGCAGCCTCAAACTCATGGGTGCAAGTGTTCCTCTCACCTTGGCCTTCTGGGTCGCCGGGATGATAAGCATGAGCCACCACGCCTGGCTGTGAGGTAACTTTAAAGCATTCTAGCTTTCTGTTGTAGATTCTAGCTTTCTGTGTTAGAAAACCATATTGTGGAAAAGATTTCCAGTTGCCCACCTGTTTTACGATGTACCTGGGACTTGCCTTAATCATGTACGGTAGGAGACAACTGTTTTAATCATGTCATGGAGACAACTGCTTTGAAAGAAGAGTCTTTTATTTCACAGTTCCCAATAGGAGGTAGCATGCTATGCCATGCAGGGCCACTTAGGGACGCACTGGAGTTGGTCAGGAGGAAGAAGGAGAGGGGAAAACATGAGCCAGAGCCTTTGTTGTGTTTTTCATAGGGAAGCAATGAGTAAGGTACTGGTGGAAAGCTGAGCAAGTTTAGGATTGGGTAGTTTGAATAATTTCAGCAGGCTCCAGGCTCTCAAGATGGTCCCTAGTTATCAGGTGCCTGGCCCTGGGGTGATTGAAAGCAAGGTCATAGTGTCCTGGGCTCGTTTTCTACGTCCTAAGCAAAGGAGGTAGATGGGAGGGGCAGTATGGATTCAGGATTGGCTGGTTTGCTTATCCAAGGTGTTTTCTCAGGCAAGTTGTTTGCTAACTCTAGGAATTAGCTAACCTTGGGAGGGCACACCTTCTCTGGGTCTGCAAGGCCCGAAAGTGTCAAAGCATAAAATATAGAAAATAAACATGATCAATGCACTACCCAGTATCTATTGTCCCTTCTGTATTTATAGAACCCAGTTGTGAGAGGGTGCGCAATGCATGCACTGCATTCCTATTCTTTTCAGTTAGGGGTTGCCAAGGGGCTATAGGCAGAAGTCACTTGGTGATGCTCTCAGGGAACTTTTTATATGAGTAACTCTTGGGAGGCATATCTGGTGTACTTCCCTAGACTCTCATCCTACAGCTTTTTCTTTTTTGTCTGAAACGTGGACATTTCATGGCTGGATTTCCAGTTGCCATCTAAGACCATGAGGCAATCTTCAGAATGGAAGATAGAAGAAGCTGGTATCTGCGATCACCATGCAACCACCATACCAGCCTGGACAGTTTGCCTCTGGACTGCTTTGGGGAACACAAATATACCTCTCCTCTAAGCCACTTATTTGTGTTGTGTACTTAAACCTAATTCTTCCTTATTCATACATTGTTGACTTTATCTCTATATACGTGAGCAACTCTTTACTCTTACCTTTCTCTTACATGACCTTCCACGGCAAGAAGAAGTAAAATCTTATCGTTATTCCCACGGTCCTTTAGGTTTTAAACTAATGTCTCATTAAATTTAGGGAAGGGAGTGGGACATGAAAAGTACACAAACCTTAGCAATTAACTTTAAAAAGAGTGAACATAAGCGTACTTTAATATAAACTAAGTACTGTTTAATTCTGCATGTAATCCTGAGTGAAGATCCTTAATTAATAGCCCCTTGTTAAACAGAGGAGCTCTTAGGTTAAGAACAGAAGTATTGTTCTTATGCTTCCCTTGGCAGTATTACAGCAGACTAGAAATCCAGAGTGGGTCTGAGACTTCCCACTGCAAGTCCAAGATCGGGATGTAAGCTTGGCCACTTTCTGGTGAGGCTTCTCTTGCTGGCTTGTAGCTTACCGCCATCTCTGTGCATGTAAGCCAGGCTCCAAGGAGCAGGCCTTTTCATTCTAATCCAGGATCGATGGCACTGAACTTTTACAATTTTATGCACTTAAACCTCACTCCAGGTGGATAGCGGCTCCTAGTGGAATTCCTTTTCTGTATCTCTGAGTCCTCCCTCCTGAGGAATGAGACTTTTTACTCTTCTGAGTAATTCTGAGCCTCCTCCATTTGGTGCTGCTCATCTTTCTGTTTTGGGTAGCTCAGAGCCCTACACCCTTTGAAACTGAGTCCAAGTCCTCCATCATCTTTGTGACCTAGATCTCTTCCTTCTCTATGTGACACTGGACACTACTCATTTGCATTTTAGCAAAGAGCTGCTAAGTTTAGGTTCATAGATGGAATGTGACATTCCATATCATCTGTGAAGAGGACAGACTAACCTGAAAGAGCCAGAGAAGATTCCCTAAATTGTGCTGTACGACAGACTAAATTGGGCAGAGACGAGAGACAGGTACAGTGAAGCAACAGGTAGAGGAGTAGATTAACGAGAAAAATATCAAATCAGTGAGGAGATTCTACATATCAACAGAAAGAACAAAGATCAGGACTGCCTAATTGCTGACATGATGGGACTCACCGACGAGGTGTTCCTGATTGTGTGTGGCACTCAATTCACACTGGGAATTCTGGTCAATGGTTTCATTGGTTTGGTCAATGGTAGGAGCTGGTTCAAGACCAAGAGAATGTCTTTGTCTGACTTCATCATTGCCACCCTGGCACTCTCGAGGATCATTCTGCTGTGTATTATCTTGACTGATAGTTTTTTAATAGTATTCTCTGTCAACGAACATGATTCAGGGATAATAATGCAAATTATTGATGTTTTCTGGACCTTTACAAACCATCTGAGCATTTGGTTTGCCACTTGTCTTGGTGTCCTCTACTGCTTGAAAATCGCCAGTTTCTCTCACCCCACATTCCTCTGGCTCAAGTGGAGAGTTTCTAGGGTGATGGTATGGATGCTGTTGGGTGCACTGCTCTTATCCTGTGGTAGTACCGCATCTCTGATCAATGAGTTTAAGCTCTATTCTGTCCTTAGGGGAATTGAGGCCACCAGGAATGTGACTGAACACTTCAGAAAGAAGAGGAATGAGTATTATCTGATCCATGTTCTTGGGACTCTGTGGTACCTGCCTCCCTTAGTTGTGTCCCTGGCCTCCTACTTTTTGCTCATCTTCTCCTTGGGGAGACACACACGGCAGATGCTGCAAAATAGTACAAGCTCCAGAGATCCAAGCACTGAGGCCCACAAGAGGGCCATCAGAATCATCCTTTCCTTCTTCTTTCTCTTCTTACTTTACTTTCTTGCCTTTTTAATTACATCATTTGGTAATTTCCTACCAAACACCAAGATGGCTAAGATGATTGGCGAGGTAATGACAATGTTTTATCCTGCTGGCCACTCATTTATTGTCATTCTGGGGAACAGCAAACTGAAGCAGACATTTGTAGAGATGCTCCGGTGTGAGTCTGGCCACCTGAAGCCTGGATCCAAGGGACCCATTTTCTCTTAGAGTAACAGAGGGCCTGGGGTGGAGCCCGTGAGCCTTTTGCCTGGCTCAAGACTACGGGATTCTTCCTGACCCTCCCATGATACCAGTTCCATAACATCACTAGGAGAGAAACCCTGACTGCTTTGCCCCTGGTCCCTGAGGACCTCTTCCAAGGTGAAAGCCATGCTTCTCACGACCTCTGTCTGTATGGTGGTTGCGGAAGTGGGGAGGGCGCAGGAGTAGTAGTGTTTTGGAAATGACAATGTTGTAAGAACACTCTCACTATAAACACACGGTGCTGTATTTTAATGATCATCAGCTCCACACAATGAGTCTGATTACTAGTTTCAACTTAAATTAGATACTAACAGTGATAAACACAAAATTACATAGTAGACTTGAAGGAAAGAGCAAAAGTTTTGCAGTCCTGTAGATGTGGGCTTGAGTTCTGATTCTGGCCAAGATTTTTGGCCTCAGGTGAGTTACTTTAATTACCTGTCTGATCCCCTCTTCTGATCCCTACTGGCCATTTTAGCACAGTGTGTTATGTAAAGTACTGAGTAAGTGAAGGCTATTATTGTGCTAATATTGGATTGTGCAGCAACAGCAATTTCCATATGATTCCAGTTTCCACAAACCCATTGTGTAATGATGAAAACAGTGGAAAGAAAATTAAGACCTTTAGATTCTAGATTCCAATTCAATCTTGCATTTCATGATCATTTTGCTAAAGTACATTTTCAAGTAATTATTTGGTAGATTTGCCAAAAGACCAAGTGGTTTTGTTTTTATTTTCGACCAAGATGCCTACTTGGTTTTAAAATTACAGTTTTATCAAATGTAATATAAGCAAATTTTATGTTTAATCAATTTTATTTAAACAGAAGTATTAGATGCTGATTTACTTCCTGTTATTAACAATTTTGACATGTCAATGAAAAGATATTGCTTAATATCCTGAAGAATTCTCAAATTTGTAAACATATTCAGTTAATACATATGGCATTATTCAGAAATGTGGATTTCTAGTCCTAATGGGACTCTCAGAAGTGGATTGTTGTGGCTAAGAATGTGGACCCTGAAGCCAGACAACCCGTGTTTAAATTTAGCTTTGGCCCTTTTGAACTGGGTGACCTTGGGGAAACTTCCTAACCAGTCTCTATTTAACTTTCTTCATTTGTAAAATGGAAATAGTAATTGTGTGCGTGTGTGTGTTGGGATAAAGTTGTTGGAAGGAATGAGTGAATTAACACATGAAAAGTGCTGTCCTACATGGAGTAAACACACAATAAAACTGCTATTGTTGTTGTTATTTTGTGAAAAGGAGCATATTTTGACATAATAAAAAGGAGTATATTTGGACATAGCATGAATGTCCATTACATTACTGGACATTTGGTCATATGTAACCAGAAATTAACATTAGGGTTGTTCTGGGATTTATATCTTAATTTCTAAAATGACGGGAAAAAATTTCCTTTGGTCTGCACAGTTTGCATTATCCCATTGGATTAAACACCTCCCCAACCAGCAGGTGGGGGCTCAGGAGAAAAACCATATTACTGATAGATAAAATAAAGAACTGACTTGTTTTCAGCACATTTGAGCTTGTACAGTGAGTAAATTTTGTTAGCCACACTATCATTAAATTGTCATTGTGACTTGGTGGAGCTGGGTCAATCGTCTGAGCAACATTTCCAGGTTAACTCTGAAATACATATTTTCAGGAGTTGATGAGTGGAGTTTCATGGCCGTATTCTATCTGATCTCAGTTTCCATTTGTGGCCAGACAGGGTATTCATAGCCAGAGAGGAAGGATTTCTGAGTTATCCTTGGCTTTTCAGGTGTCTCCCCTTATTGCCCAGCTGGCAGATCCCCCTTCAGAAAGGGATGAGCGCTGCCTAGCTTCTGGATGTTGCTGTAATAGCCCAGGAATGAATACATTTCTCACTTCATTTTGATTCTGGCTAGCCTTGATTCCAGTTCATTCCTTCCTGCCACAAACATTTATTTAACACTTATTGTGTACCAAGCACTGTGCGAGACCAAGCACTGTACGAGATGCTTGTTCCTTGAACACGGTTCTGTTCTCAAAAACATTTCTTAGTGGGCCATAAAGACACAGTAACAAGTATTTAATTGCTGCATCACTGAAACAGGTGCTTCAGGTACAATAAAGGGATCATCCTATCTTGAGGGTCCTGGTGCAGGTGATGTTTGTCTCTAGACCCCTTTTGTGTCAGCCTTGAAAATGTGCACTCAGATCTCTGCTGTGGAGGCTCAATTGGCTGATGGCTCCAGCTTGGGAGATCCACTACGGTGAGGCCACATTTCCTGCAGGCTTCTCCCAGCCAGTGGTGGAGCACTGTGGAGTACTAAGGCAAGTCTGTTTTGCTGAGACATGGGATTCCTCTAACAGGCAATTTTGGCCAAGGACTCTGCATCAGCTTGGTTGAAGTTTTCTTGGACCTCTACTGCACTTTTGAACTCTCTCTACCCAATTATTCCCTACCCCACTTTACCTCTTCCCCTTTTATAGCTGTCAGACCTACATTGCTATCTGAATACTCTGCTCACTTCCTCTGGCTCCCATCCACCTAAGATCTCTTGCACATCTAATCTTTTTTAAGCCTCTGCCTCTTGGCAGACCTCTCATATAAGTAATCTCTTTATTAAAAAGCTAGTGCAGACGATAAAGATACTCACTAAAAGACATATAAGTGTATGTGCGTGTGTGTGTGTGTGTGTTCAAAGTGTACCAGAATTCTAGAAATCATTCCAGATTCTGCCTTCTCCTACAACCTCAATATCCATTTAGTTGCCAGATCCCCTTTGTTGTACTTCAAAACATTTCTTTCACATGTTTCCTGGTCTCCATTTCCACTCTTTTCAGCCCATCAGAGTGATTGCAACAGGATTCTAACTAGTTTCCTGTTTCCAACTCCATCCCCTTCCAGCAAAGCCTTTCCTCGTTACTTGGATTGTATTCTTCATACAGTGAAAAGAGGGGAGTAATGCTCCCCTCTTAAAAGTCTTGCAGTGGCTGTCCATTGCTTTGGGTAAAGTCCAGACTACTTAGTTTACAGCATAAAGCCAGTCATCATTTGGCCTCTGTTTTCTTTTCAGTTTCATCTTCTTGTTCCTTGCTTCTCCAAAAGAACTTTGAACTGCTTCTAGTTCCCAAATATGCCGTACTCTTCTTGCTGCTATGCTTTTCCATGTGCTGCTTTCTATACCTAGAATTATCTTTCTTATCAACCGTGTCAACTTCTCTTATTCTTCAAGACCTCCCTCCTCCAGGAAACTTTCTCTGATTCTTTTAGGTGAAGCTAAGCACTTATTCTGTATGTTTCTCTAATGTGGTACATGCCTCTGACCACATTAGTGTAATAATTATGTCCAAATTCTGTACCTACTATGGCATAGATACTTCCTGATTTATCTTTTCAGTTTCATCTCCCACTGTTTCTCTTCCTATCCGTGTACCCCTCCCCTCTTCTGTTTTCTGAACCCACCACACACTATCACCTCTTAGTCTGCATGTAGAGTTCTCTGCTTGCAATGTCCTTCTTTCTCCCTACCTTAGCTTTTTTTGGATAATCTCTTTGCATCCTTTAAGACTGAATGTATATATCTTCTCAGTTCCTGAACTGCCAAAACTGGATCAAGTGTGCCTCCTGAACACTCCTGTTGTGCTCCTTGTGTTTCCTTATTATGGCATCTAAAACTCTCAATTCTAATTGTCTATTCATCTGTCTTTTTTTTTTTTTTTTTTTTTTTTACCATTTCATATATTCTTTGAAGGCAGGTGTGCTGTGGGTGATTCTTCTCTTTTCCCCAGCACCTAACAGTGCCTGGCTGATAACCACAGTTCATAGAATGAAAGAACCAGTGAGGGAAGTCTAGTGTAGTAGAAAGAGCTCAGTCTCAGACCTTTCAGCTTAGCCAGTCGTCTGCTGCTATGGTTTGGATGTCCCCTCCAAAACTCATGCCAGAATGTAATTGTACCCTTGTAACAGTGTTGAGAGGTGGGGCCTTTAAGAGGTGACTGGGTCATGAGGGCTTTGCCCTCATGAATGGATTAATGCAGGAGTGGGTTTGTTATTGCAGGAGTTTGGCCCCCTTTTCCTGTCTTGTTCTCATGTACACATTCTTGCCCTCTGCCATGTTATGAAGTACTAAGTAGTCCTCATTAGATGCCGAGCTGATGCCAGCACCATGCTTTTGGACTTCCCAGCTTCCAGAACTGTGAGCCAACTAGACTTCTTTATAAATTTCCCAATCTGTGGTATTCTGTTACAGCAGCAGAAAATGGGCCAAGGCATTTACTCTGGTGTTAAGCAGTCACTTATTTTCCCTGATCTTCATTTTCCTCACTCATAAATAGGATAACCATATACTCCTCCTAGGATGCCTGGTGCACTGCTGGGAACATAGTAAGCATTTTAAAAAAACACAAGAAATGGAAGTTTTCTTCTTTCTCGTAAGTGCCATGTATACTTTTTTGAAAAAATTTCAAACTTTTAAATTCCTGTTTCTTCATGACTGACCTAATTCTTCAGAGCTGTCATCAAATAAGTTAAGTGCCATTCATTTGCTTTGACAATTTGCCCTAAAGCTTTTCTTACAGACCTGTCAAGAAGCAGAGTTTGGACCCATGCCTGCAATGCCTGCTAGTTAGTCTTCTTGGGCTCTAGTAAATATTCAAACTTACAAGACTGTCTTAGTCCACTGTGGTACCAGCCTACTCAGACGGATAGAGTTGAGGGACCTAATTTACCAGCAGGGCAGTGTCAGGCCTTCCTCTTTTGCAGAGTCTTTGGTGCAGGCCATACAGTTCAGGTACAATAATAAGAGATACACATTAGAGTCAGGCTGGGAGCTGCCGTAAATTAAAAGCTTCGTGTCCCAAAAGATCCAATTTATCATGTTATAAGTTTGTAGACAAAGCTTCTAGGGTTGAGTCAAGATACAGGCACGTGAGAAGGAAGCCCAATGCATGCAGTCTCCGTAAGATACTTATTACAGTTCACTTACAGTTCCTTCCAGTCAAGATGCAATTTGCCAGTCAGGAGTCTTTTTTTTTTTTTGGTCTAGAAACATAGTTGATGTTCTCACCCTTCTCAGGTTGATAAGGAAAACAGCTAGGAATTTTAACTGTAGGTCAAATTCTCATGCAGAGGGAGAAAGGGTTCTGCTAACACTTTTCCTATACTGACCCTTGTGGAAATAACTTCTAACTGAATGAGCTCATTCATTGATTGTGCTAGCCAACTTTATCACAT